CACACACACACACACACACACACACACACACACACACACACACACACGCACGCACACACACAAAATTTATTTTAGTTATTATTTAGGTATAAATTATATTTTCTTTCTCTGCTTAGTTTGGGCGCCAGTCTCCCACAATATATTACTCTAAGCGTATGTAATATGTTCTGTACTGTAATTTTACTTTGTTTTGTATTGTGGAGATAAATAAAGATATATTATTATTATTATTATCTCACTATCCATAGCCTTGATGGAAAAAACCATTTGTCCCTTTTTGTTAATTCTTTAATTTAACAATGTGAACATTTTCCTTTATAAAATCACGATCTTTAACGCTCTCTGCTACTATGTTAACGTAATAACGTGAATCTATAATGCAATATATGTTTTATAAAGTATTTATTACGAAAGTACATAATAGCGTTTCGCTTCCACATTTAAACGTTTCCCTGAAAGTTACGACATGGACCTTTTCAAGGCGAGAGTGAATAGACATTATTTAGGTGTGCATGCTCCATTGTCGACTTCATCGTCACTTTCCATCATCAAATGAGACGGAAGTCAACTGCGCACTTATTTTTTAATAAAAAAAATACATATGTAAATATTATTTTATATTTACATAGCACATATATTTTCAAAAGGATGGTTTACATTTAGTTAGAGGCTAACAATTACAAATGCACACAAATAAAACTATAGCTACTTACATGAGAGAAATAAAAGAAAAAAATGAAGAAAAGAAAAAAGACTACCAACAGCACGCTTAGCTTACACTGGAGATAAACAAACACTCATGAATGACTGAGAATTATACGAGTAATCTGGATCAGCTAGAAGATTATAATTTATTTCAATCCGCATTTTTGCGTAGTGTAATATTTAAACACGGATGGAGTACTAACTAAAGCTTTCAAAGAGGCAATTTTTATCATTAATGCTTTTACTTAATTTTGATACTTCTGTATATAAAAATAGAAAACACGTTTATGTCATCTATAATGTGAATAAATTAATTGTCCATTTAAACTAGTGATGCAACAGATCTCTCGCAACTGCAGAAGTTCCGCAAGCTTTATCACATCTGTTTCTTTTTGGCAGCTTTTATAACGGAGCTTTAATCGAAAGCCTACAGCGTTAGCGATGGATGTGGCTGTGAAGCTGGCGTTTTCAAGTAGTTTTTTGTATAATGCTAAGTGCCTGGACGAACAAGTCGTACCCCTGGTGGTAAGCAACACGCCTGTCCATAGCAATTGCATCTTTAAATCGCAAAGGTCCGAGGGCACCGCCACTGCGCCCGTTGCCATGTGACATAAGTTGACAAGTTCCATGTGCCTGTAATTTCACCAGCACGCTTACCTTTTAAACCCAAACGCAGTAATGCTCGCAAAAATAGGTAAGGTTTTGTGCAAAGTGCAATTATGAAAAAAAACTAGCACTGTTTGGAATTATTTCGTTGAGTTTATAGTATTTATAATTCCACATTCGCATCCGTTTCCTTTAGAGCAAAAATTTAATTTTGACATCTGTTAATATATGTATATCTGTAGATATAGATAATTTAAACCATTTATTCACCACACAAAAAAATATTAAATGTAGATATTGGACAATATAAGAATTTATTATTAGTATGTGGCAGGGAGCAAGCTCAGGAAACACTGTGTAGACTGTATGCGCATACTGAGCACGGATTGTCAGATCGGCGCCATTTTGGATAGGCAGATATAATGAAACACTTGCACAAAAACAGAAACCAAAATGAAAACTCATGAAATTCATGCACATTAATACTAGTAATATTTCATACACATAACAACTAACTATACATATGTAACTAACTATGACATAGAGCAATAACTATAACTAACACTAACTTGACTTCAGAAATAAACCCTTCAGCTGCGTAATCAAACACGATTGGGACATTACTTTATATATTCTGTGTAATGTGCTATCTTTTAAAGTTTATGCAACTGTCAAATAAATCAGAATAACTATCTATTGTTTCAGGTTATAAAAACAGCAAGATGTTTTCAGCTGCGCCGCAAGATGTTCTCACTATACTATCGACCCAGGACGTTACAGTGAATTATCATATGTTTTGTATCATTGACCAAGTAGGTTCACCTTTTAAGAAGTCGTAACCTTGATATAATAAAGTCACATGTCATGAGTATCTTTTAACACATGAAAGTAATCTATAACTTTCTTTAAAAAAAAACCGACTACGATTTCTTATACTTTGACATGTAGTGCAATTTATACTGTAATGTTATATTTGAGAAATAAATGAATCTGAATCTGAATCTGATTACAAATATTTCTCTCGGCCCGGGAATCGAACCTAGGACCTCTGCGTGGCAGACCGGCATGGTAACCGTTCCACCACAGAGGCAGGCGTAGTATATGTGAAATGTTATTATATTTCTTCTACATAAGCACAGAAAACTTATCGAATAATTTCGTTCCTAGAATCCTTAAACGACAAAAAAGTCGATGAAAAACCAAATACAAAGATACGACGCAAATACAGAAAAATTCATGACGTCCGATGGTTCGTTTCGTGGCTTAGTTGGTATAGCGTCTGGCACGGTATGCTAGAAGACGTCGGTTCGAATCCGGCCGGATCGAAGGAATTTTTTCTGAGTGTTCGATCTTTGTATTAATAATAATAACAAATTGTTATTTTGCAAATGTGGCCTTATTACTCTAAGGGTGCGACTTTATAAACTAGTAAAATACTCTTACATGCTAGTATAATGTCAGGGTGACGGGTCACACGACATCTTTCTTCCGTTACTTGATATCATAAAAAACCCTGTTTATTATTGAGTATACAATACAGTAAATAGCCTTGTCTCATGCTGGTGTATATTATCGCGACAAAGTATGATCACAATATGATATTTATACGCTATTATAGCTGAATCCTGTTATACCTATGTACCTTCATAATCGGAGCGGTGTTTTGTTTAGAGATGTACACGAATATTAACCTTTATTTTTTAGAACCTGAAGAACTTCAGTTTGGATCGGGATTGGCTGGTGACGTCACATAGTACTTCCACAGGCGGCTCCAAATTTATCGCTAGTATTGAACACAAAAGGTAAATAATTCTTGAAATAAGTGTGAATTATTATTGTATTATATAAATTTAAGTATCTGGGTCACTGGATTGCTGAGAAACATATAGACGATTTCTACGCTATCATGCAAAAGTGCGTAGTGCATCGCTAGTCCGTCGCATGCGTCTCAGTACGAACGGCATCCTGAGCACATTGGTGGAAACATGGGATGCGCATCCATCCCCCAATGCTGGCGTGGTGAGTGCCTTGCACACTGCTGCCAATGCATAGCCAGTTGTACTGACATTAGCTGGGTGCGTTACGCTCCCATCTTAATACCTGTATAATATCGTTTTGTTTTATTATTATTATTCTTTTAAACCTCGCACTATCTTAAATGTTTTTCTTTACTAACAAATATTATGGATGAATGTATCAGAAATAATTATATTATTATTATTGATGCAAAGATGTTAAGTAGCAGTAGAGCTCCTAGTGAAAGAGTGTAATGGAAGATATAAAAACAAATGATCTATTTTCACTTTGTATAACAACATTTGAAATAATTTGTAAGGATATAATAACTCACTGTATACAATCAACAAAAGGCATAATTTCAATGTGTATAATAAACCTTCAGTGTAACAAAAATTAGATGTAATGATTAGGTGACATAATGAACAAATGGTATAAGTACTAACAATATAAATTAACTAAAATAATAACGGATAACTCACGTATTTAAGTCGAATTAATGCTCGATATGTTTCGATCCAATTTGTGACCTTGATCATGAGATTCCGCTGCGGTGACTCGACGGAAACTGCGCGCCAAAGCCCTGGCAGCCCGATCACTCAGTACGTTAGCGGGCGCAGGCGGCGTCGACGAGAAACTACCCTCGTTTGCTTCATTTTTATTAAAGTCATATGCAGGATTGCACACTACACTAATAACGTCACTTTCTAAAGTCTCGTCTACACTAACCACTGACGTAGTAGCTAACACTGTTTATGACATGTTTCGAACCACGAATTGGTTCGAAACATGTTAGTTACCCGTTATGACTTAAATACGTGAGTTACCCGGTATTATTTTAGTTTAATATGTCTGAGTCTCACGGTGGTTGTCTACTAACAGTATAATGTAATAAATAATATAACACAATATTTTGTTTTACGAATAGTTGAAGAGCCCCATATTATGTTGATAAGATTTTTTTATTGCATTAATAGTACAATCGCTAAATATAATTGTTTTTGCTTTACTTTAAGTTCTTTTTGTGTAACAAAATATATTTATTATAACATTTCTGACGTAACTCCACTTATGCCGTTCTTCCAATAGGGGTGCGATGTGCGATTATAACTATTTTTATATTATGTTAATTGAATAGCACATTCAATGTTACATTTTCACCTTTCAGATATCCGTTCTATGGCGTCCAGTTCCATCCAGAGAAAACTTTCGAGTGGAAACAGAGTAAAAATTACCCACACACCGTAGAATCAATTAAGGCAAATCGTTACTTCATGGACTTTTTTGTAAACGAGTGCAGAAAAAGTGATCACACTTTTAACAATGTCGTTGAAGAAAACAAGTATCTTATTTATAACTATGTACCACACTTCACCGGTGTACTTGGTAGCGCTTACCACCAATGTTATATGTTTGAACCTAGAGGCATAACCAATAGTTGTCTTTGAGAAAGAAGCTAGAAGAAATAAACTTTCTTACACTAGCGTTATAGTATATTTATGAAAATTAAATTTTTACAAACATGCTCGGAATTTATTTTTTTTAAATTACTTTCAAAAAATGAACACGGAAAGTTTCTCAATTATAGACCATGCGACTTCTTCCCGGCCAAGGCCTGCAAAGGAAGTATGAAAATCTATTACTGTCCTGTTTTGAAAACTTTTTATCTACCTACTATTAATGAACTATATAAACAAGCAAAATAAAACCTCTTACAGCCAACTGCCCAGTGTTCATAACTGCGAGAATTAAAAATACCTGCCTGTACTTAAAAAAAATAAAATGGCGGTAAAATTTAAACTAAAGTGTTTTGGTATTCTTTTGTTTTTTCGTTTTTTTTTATTTTGGCGGCGAAAATGAGTGCTAGTGAGAAGAGCGATAACGAAAATACAGTAATAGATACACATTCAAAAAACATCATCAGAAGTTCAGCAGACTGCTATTAATGTGCCTGGAAAAACAATAACATTTTCTTTTAGCATATTGTATAAATTTATTTGTAAATTAATATTTTTTTACTTTTTCTGTTATACATCTCCACATCCTTTCTTTAGTCTTTTATTATTTCCTCACATTGTTTGAGAAAAATTTTATACATGCCTCGGTGGGAACAGGGATTGCTTGACTCGTATTAATATAAGGCTTCGCTGGCGCTCGTCCTTGCAACTCATACACGTCCAGCAGTTCCTTGCTTTCCGGCCTCTACAATAATGTGCGATTATATTAAGAAGAATAGTAATTTTCTTGTAAAAAAATACTTACCTCCTTATCATAAATAGCATAATCGACATTTTTATCAAAATTGAATTAATAACAATCTAGGATCAGCGAAACGCGATCTACAACCCCTTCTAATCGATTTTTTAATATCTTACTTAATTTCAGTTTTTTAGACATTTTTTATGTGACAATAAAACTTTAGGTGTCAATATCTCAAAATTTACCGAAATACAAATGCGTTAGTTATCACGAGGACGGCAGAATAGTAAACAACAATAACAAGAAGACTAAAAAGTCTCTAGTTCTAAGTGAATAGGTTTATCCTGCGATGTACTTAAACTATTGCAGGAAATCCTGAATGCGAATAATGTAATCAACAAATGGTGGTTTTAACCACTCCATGTCACTACTTGTAGACATTTGTCAGTCATTTCAAACACTTTATTCCGACCATTGATACTATTCCGACCTAATAACATACCGTTTAATTATTTTTAATTAATTATAATGTAAATTATAAACATTAAATATTATATATTATTTTAATAATTTTCGCGGAAAGTCGTAAAATGTGTCCATAAATTACGTTTCAATAATAAATTAAATTTGTATGTTATTAAATGATTAGCAAAAGAGGTGGTGTCGTTTTTGTTATTATTTTCCTTTCTAGTAACCTATAGGTAGATACTATTAAGGCAACATGTTATAATTAAACTGGAATTTTATTCGTTAACGAATACCGTAGAATTTGACTGCCTCTCTGGCCGAACGGTTACCACACTGGACTGCCACGCAAGAGGCGTCGGGTTTTATTCCCGGGCCGGGAGGAATATTTTTAAGACTACGTCTATTTCTCTCGTGAGTTTGTAATTATATGTTGAGTTTGTGCGTTATTATTATTTATTATTAATGTGTGTGTCCAAGGCACCCGCGATACATGGTTTCCCTAGTGCTGGGCTATGAGTGTGTGCGTTATGATTATTAGAAAGCATTGTTTATGTGAAATAATCGAATTAGGGTTGGCAGAAAAGGAAGATTTTGCTGACGATTGTGTCTTTTTTGAAAGTTTATATTATAAGGAATTTATTGAAAATTTTCGATAATAATATCGACTTAATTATTAAAGGCTACGTCGAGTTGCGGACACCAGCCCGTCACACCAAGTACCAAGTACTTTAAAGGCATGCTGTTCGGTTGGTGCCATTTGAATTTTCGGTTTGTACACCCATGTGGCCGCGAGAATGCAAATAGCCCGTAGTAATTACACGTAATTGTTTACTTATAGGACAATGCGGCTTCGAGCGATGGCAACCCGCAGTCTGTAAATTAAGATCTTATGTAATGATGAAGATGACACAATTACGCCTAAATACATATCTCAGAAATGTATACATAGTAGTCAAATTTTATAGAAGTAATTATTTTCGTTTTATTTATGTATTTATTTATTTATTTATTTAAACTTTATTGTACAATACACTGAAGTACAAATGGCGGACTTAATTCGTATTTGCTATATATAATCTCAGTATAGAGTACTAAAAAAACCGACCTCAAAAGCCATTCATCCCCTAGTTTGCCACCGTTAGAGGTGGAATATTTTTAAGTGGTACCACTACTGAGATACCTTCTTTCCAACAAAAAAGAATCATCAAAATCGGTTTCCAAATTTATCCGGAGTTATCGTGTAACATACGTACAAAAAAACAGTCGAATTGAGAACCTCCTCCTTTTTTGAAGTCGGTTAACTAATAATCCTTAATTTGAGGCTATCAGCGCAAAAGTGGTGGAACTCACATTCTATTTTTTTTTCTAAAATATTACTTTAAATGCTGCTAAAGCACATAATTACTTTATATTTAGATGTTATTTTCATGTACGAAAAACAATATACTAAATATGTTTTATACGTGCATGAAAATAACTGTAGTATAAGTATTGAGTGTGGTGAACGAGAAAAGAGCGATTCTGAATACTAGAGCGTAGACGCGGGAAAATGATTGAATATTTGATACGACACGACGATTTTGGAGGGAAAGATCGAGGGGAAGAGGGGAAGCTGTCGACCTAGGCGCAGTTACATAGACCAAATGAAGGAAAAGGCCGGTGTCGTGTCGTAGGAAGTGAAGGAGCTGGCTTGTAGAAGAAAGGACTGGAAGAGGCTCCACCGACAAGAGTATAACTCTTAAGTTTGATGATGATGAAAATAATATCCAAATATATAATAATTAACATTTATGCTTAACAACCGTTCTTTCAGTAACTTAAGTATTATGTATTTTTATAAATATATTTTACTGGCCAGAACACTGTTGGGCTTTGTATGGAACTCATACACCAACTTTTAATAGCAGTAAGCAGTAGCTCCTTGTTAAAAAGTTCGCCTAGGGAAGTATTGTCACCTTACTTATTTCTGCTGCGAAGCAGTAATGTGAGCATTACTGCTTTGCGATTTTGACAGGTGAGGGTGCTGGTGAAATTGCACAATTGACAGGCACATAGGACTTGTCAAGTTATGTCTCAGGGTGACGGGAGCAGTGCAGTGCCTCTCAGATTTTTGCGATTTAAAGCTCTGAGTGGCAATGTAACTGTTATGGACGGACGTGACGCTTCCCGACAGGCACACGACTTGTCGTGAAATAATCTCAGTATAGAGTACTAAAAAAACCGACCTCAAAAGTTCGTGGAATTACATCCATTTGTCAAGATTTATTGTAATCGGTTACCGGAAAGTACGCGAAACCAGATTCATCCCTTTGTTTACCACCCTTAGAGGTGGAATATTTTCTTCAAATTTAAATGAGACAACTACTGAGGTACCCTCTTTCCAACAAAAAAAGAATCATTAAAATCGGTTCACAAATGCCCGAGTTATCGCGTAACATACATACAAAAAAAACAGTCCAATTGAAAACCTCCTCCTTTTTTTGAGGTCGGTTAAAAAAATACCAGAAAAGAAATTATATGTCATCAACTGATTGAAATTACAACCGCGCAAGAAATTGACCCATTGACACTTTAATATTACAATTCAAATACTAAAATGTTTAAAATAGTGCTTAAAATTAAAACAAAATATGTGACTACATAACTATATCATAATAAGTCCTTCTTTAGTATTGATATCAAGTAGTATTCACAGTATTTTTTATGATACCAAATGACTAAGAACTGTTTGTCATAAGGAGCTATACTGCTCCAAAATTATATCCACAATGTAACGGCTTTAGAAAAAGCCCTGGAAGTGAAATTTCTTATCGGATGTCATTACTTCAACAATCTAACTTTAGTCTTTCCCTGGAAATATTTTTACTTCACGATCCGACGTCCAGAATTATGGATGAACCATATCATGGTACGCAAATTTTTTTTTTGTCCGAACAGCAACATCAAAGATTTTGCATGGGAAATAAAGTTTTTTCTTATTTTTAAGGTAGAACAACCAATTACAAAATGATATTGATAACCCGGAAACAGAAATCATGTTATACAGTGATAATGAAAGAAACAGGTGAAAGTAAATTGCGTTTTCCCGAAGCGACGCCCTTGTTGATCGCAGTCGTATCATTAACAAGCTTATAGTTTGACCCGGTGATGGTCATACGCACAAAGGAGGCGACTTTCTTCCTATATGCCTTTCCGCAATCCGCAGCTTTAAATAGGCCTCTCGACTGTTGATCCATTTCATTGCGAGACTACGTTTCGTAAATAGACGGTATGTATTATTTTTTGTTAATTTTGTCCTTTAAAAGATTATGGACCAAAAAGTCCGGAAACCTATCACAAACTCGAATCTCTTTTTTCCGAATTTCATTACACATTAATTTCTGCGATGACAGTTTTTGGTATAAATTTGCAACACAGAAATGTCTTACGGCAGTAGTACCGTTTCAATCAATCAATCAATACTTTATTGCATTTTCTACAATGTTTTTTTACAAGAGTGGTAGGTTTAACATTTAACAGATCAGATAGGGCACTGCAAACTGGTGAGGAGGACATACTTACAATAATAAATTAATCTTTTAAATCATTATCCTGAATAAATTTTTAAACAGCATAATAACATTTTTGTATTAGCAGTTTCTACTTTTTTATAAATATTATGTCACATTTCTCATCTATTAACGACCTTGGTAATTTATTATAAACTTTGATCGACATTAGGAATGGAGTGGGTGCTTGGTGTTATCAATTTATGTCCATGTCGTGATGTATGACGTGTAGCAATATCTCGTCGCCTAGTGAAATATTCTGGATACTTGTAAATACACGGAAGGGGAAGTATGTCTAGTTCTTGGAAGTATGGTTTGCAACTGTCGGTTTGGGCAATATTGACAAGTATTGTAATATGTAAGAAGTATTGTAATGAACTTCTTTTGTGCAGTAAATAGTGAGTAGCGTCTATACTATAGGCATAGGCCTAATATACAGCTTTAGCCTTTTTCACGTTAGTTGTTTTTTTAGTCAAAACCTAGATTTTACAGACGCTAAATGAGCTTTTCAATTTAAATGTGTGTCTATAATCAGGCCGACAAGTTTAAATTGTGTAACTGAATACCGTTATAAGACGAATTAACTTGTAAAGTGTTCTTTTAATGTGGATGGAATGTCATAATTTTTGTTTATGAGAAGTTAATTTCAAGGTGGTGTGTGTTCATCCAGTCTGTAATTTTGTCGAATAGGTTCGTAAGGTTTTCATTTAATTTTAAGTTATTATGTTGTCATAATATGGTGAGCAAAGATACATCATCTGCAAACAAAACGCATGGGTCATTGATTACTTTAGGAAGGTCGTTAATGTATATAAGAAACAAAAAACATCCAATAACACTGCCTTATGGATGAGTTAACTACTTTACATCTTGATCGTATATTCTGTATGTGTCTAGTATTTTCATTAAAGTATGAGTACTTGAGATATTGAGATATCTACACACTGCTCTCTGGTCTTTCAAATATGACGTGAACCATTTATGTGCTGTGCCTCGTATACCCGTGCTGCATAATTTGTGCAACAATATATCATGTTGGACCCTGTCATAGACCTTTGTCATATCTAACAGAACACCAACGGCGTACTTCCTATTGTCTTAGATTTTTATTATTTACTGAGTATACTTATAAACGGCTAATGTGGGGAATTTCTTCTAATCCGTTCTGATATTCATTGAACACACAACCTTCTCACAAAAACCGTAAACACGGTCACACCTAGTTTTTTCAAACATATTTGAGGCAGTAGGCAATAGAACAATAGGACACTAATTATTTAAATCTGTTACTTAATTTTTTTCATGTGTAGGTTTTATAATGTTTTTTTTTAAGTAATGTAGGGACCTCGCTCCCTGGCAATGATTGATTAATTAGCGTAAGAAAAGACAACGTTAATTCGTCTGCACAAACCTTGAGCAGAACTGCCGGTAGTTCGTCAATCCCATGACTTATTATATTTTTCAAGTTTTTATGCCTTTGTATACTTCACGATAGTTGGCTGGGGCCAAGAAAATACTGGTTTCAATAGGGTAACTAAGGGGGGGTCGCGTTTCGCACCTACATTATCTCGTTGTTCTCCAGTAGGTGCTAAGAAAGTATTAAACGAGTTTGCAATTCGTTGGTGGTCCGAACATAAAGTATCACTTATTTTTATTTTGATATTTTGTTTTAATTTTTTCGTTTTTTTATTAGTTGTTTCGTTTATTATAATCCCACATTGTTTTATTTTTATTGTTTGGTTTTCTAATTTTCTTTTGCCGATGGTATGGTCCTTTTCAATATTTTTTCGTAATATTTGTAAGTAGTATTTTTTTATGATATTACTGTTTGAGTTCATCTAATCATGTTTGTTATACTGTCTGTTTACCGTATAATTTAGATTGCTGAAAATTCGTTACGACAAAATTATTATTCTTAGATAAAACTGTACCGCCGTACAATTTTACTGTACTGTAAGTACGTACCTTAAGGCACTCCCTAGTCTTGTATTGAGAATATATTTAGGATCTGTACATTTAAGCACATAAGTAAAAAATAAACAAAATTTGTTGTCTATAATGTCGGAAAATGTGAACAGAATAAGGTTTTTTTTTAATAAAAGGTAGAAAAAGACACCAATAGAATTTAAGATGAAACAAATTAATTTAAGGCGATTATCACACTGTACCGCGCCTACGACGGAGCGCGGAGCTGCGTTTTTTGACGTTGTACGGAAGTACCTCAGTTTGTATGGAAAACACGCGCCGTCGAACACGCTAACAACGCTTCTCCGGCGCACGCGGTTTTACCGCGCCCCGCGCTGGGGGGCGCGGCGAACCGCAGGGTATGGCCCACTGCGCAGATTTTTAAGCTCAAGGACATGTTCAGTTTTCTACGATAGATCTCGACGTCGATAAATTTATTTAAAATTCGATAAAATCGTAGATAAAATTATTGAAAATCGACCAAATTTATCTTCATATTTTCTTAAATCTTTGTAATGAAGTTAAAATTATCCATTTTTCGATCTGGTTCGTAAAAAGGGATGTATCCAATATCTTCGGTGTCTTTTTATTTGAGTAAACAAAAACCAAATAGACAGTATAACTGCAGCGTCTTGAATGAGTTCTGTATTATTAACCATTCTTGTCAAAGAAGGATTTCGGCTACATATGCAGTCACTACGACGATCAACTGCGAAACGAGTACTGTAAGTGACGCGGGGCCGCTAGACCGCTGCCCCCGCGCAGAATAAACCGCGCGTTGACGCAGGTTTGCATCTCCGCCTCCGCGCGCGTGATTCTGCGACTCGCGCCTTCGCCTAATCGCCTAACTTATGTGATTTAGTCGGTCGATGTATTGTATTAATGTGCTGAATTGTTGAAAAAAAACCGACATCAAAAGTTCGTGGAATTACATCTATTTGCCAAGTTTTATTGAAATCGGTTACCAGAAACCGGGCCCGAAACTGGATCCGTCCCCTAGTTTGCTTCCCTTAGAGGTGGAATATTTTCCTCAAATAGGGATCGCTGCTGAGATACTCTCTTTCCAACAAAAAAAGAATCATCAAAATCACACAATCACGGTTCACAAATTCCGCCGGAGTTATCGCGTAACAAAAAATCTGGCGACCCTGCACAAGTAGTGAGGTGTAGCCATATGTTGAGACGAAGTCATATACCTATTGAATTGTTGTATTCTTACAATTGACTATAAAATATCCCAAAACAGGTCCAGCCAGTGCCGTTTTTCTGCGAACAAATGCTAATATTCCTCGTGTTTCTCGTCGTATCATGCGCGGTGTACTGGTGCTGGGTGCGCCGACGCAGCCGTTACGAACCCCCGCTGTTGCCGCAGTCCTGGCCGCTTATCGGACATGCGCCTTTGCGTACTATGGATAACACTCGTAAGTTATCTTATATATCACTGATTATTATTTAAAAAAAGTTTTTGTTTTAATTTATTATTTAAAATTTAGGTTTTTTTATATTAAGTGACGGGACGAACATGTCGTGCGCTTGATAGTAAACTATACGCCTGTCCATAATAGTTGTTGTGCCACTCAGAGCTTTAAATCGCAAAGATCTGACGGGCACTGTCACTGCGCCCGTCACCTTGAGACGTAAGTTGACAAGTCCCATGTGCCAGTAATTTCACCAGCACTCTTACCCTTCAAAACCGGAAAACAGTAATGCTGACATTACTGCTTGGCGGCAGAAATAGGTAAGGTGGCAGTACTTCACTGGACGAACTCTTTCACAAGGAGCCTACTGTACGAGTGTTATACTCATTTTCATAGTTTTATTGGTTTTCACAAATTTTCGTCCCTTATATACAATAAGTAGCCTATGTCTTTCTCCTAGCTCCTATCACTATGGATGTTTTGAATTCACACCGTAAAAAACAAAAACTTTAATCTACTATAAATACGTTGATATAAAATATCATCACATCGACAGTGGAAATCACTGAAGCGACAATTTGGATGAAATTAATACATTCGCCCGAGTACTATGCCGCCTTAATCATTTGTAAGTGATGTAAAACAACGTACTATTACGTCATTTAATTTCTTTTATTTCATCGAAAAACATAACGCTATTTGGACAAAATCTTAATAGTGATGTCATAGCTCTACAACCATTGAGTATATAACCAGAAATAGAGACGAAATAAGGACCATCCATCCCCGGCAGGCAAATGGGCCTTATATCGCTTTTATATATCAACTTCCGTTTGTGCTGAAATCACAAATTAGAAAGCTGAAATACGACAACACCGACAGCTGACCTGTGTACGTCTCCATATATCCCAAAAATATTCTGTATTTATTGAAATAAAGATAATATCTCTAACAATGGGGGGGCTGTTCCATTCGGTGATGTGGGAAAAACAGCAAAACATCTAATTAGCCGATGAAATGTGATTAGTTTGTTTTGTAATTTCAATTGTCGTCCATTATAGCAAAGCTCAAATTAAACTGGTCGCTTTGAAGTGACACAATTGACGACACTCGTCAATTGTTTCAAATTCGGGCTGGTCAATCAGTTGTCACCGTAATGATTTGGCAGAATAGTTTTCAAACAAATTAAATGACATTTTGTCTCTACTTCTGGTTATATATTCGATGTCTACTACATATCAAAATATTTAATCTATAGCGATACGCAGTATTGAAATTTCACAGTGTCAGTAAGCACTGCTCACGCATACCAATGATCTCTGACATACACGCGTAACGATGGCGGGTGATTTATAGACATCAACGTTTATTGACGTTAGTATCGTTATTTGTCACATTCATTAGCATATAGAAGAAACGCTTATAAATACAACTATCTACAGCGCATTAATCGACAAAAGCATGATGCTCGCGCGAGTGTAATAATAATAATAATAACAATATTTATTCAGTGAAAAATGTACATCATTACAATGCTAAGCTAAACAAAACATAAGTACAATAATAGGATGCTGAATGTCCTATAAGTGTATAAGTGTTAGGGTCGTATTCCAGAACTCTACTCAATGCTCTAGTCAGGACTTGAGTATGATTTAAAGAACTGAAAATCATACTCAAGTCCTTGCCATTAGAGTCGTATTTCCAGTGCTTGAAATCTCAAGCAAGGAAGTATGATTATATTCAAGTCTGCTCAAGTCCTGATTTGAGCATTGAGTAGAGTTCTGGAATACGACCCTAAGTGTGTTAAGTAATATACTTGAAATTATATATTGTTGAAATTAGTGTTTTTTCTGCGTCATTTGAACTGGATTTCACGTCTATCCGACTACTTTGCTGTTGGTTAACGTATGAGGTAGCTCTACACCAAAATTCGTCGAAATTGCTTCAGCAATGTAGGCGTCAGAAGATAACAGACAGACAATCACTATTTTTTCATTTATAATATTAGCTTACATGAATGTTAAGCTGTTTTACTTTTGAACCCTACGTCAAAATAGATAAAGCGCATATCGAGTTCTTATGTGTTCGCGATAGGAAATGTCATACATAGGAAATATCACGCTCTGTGTCAGTCAACCGTGACTATAGGATATCTATAAAGAGCAACAACTATAAGCGATTTAGAGTGGTTACATCTTAGAGGATGGAAAAAAATAAAAGAAAGGAGCTGCCCTAACTAGGGAATGAACGTGCATACCTAACAAAAATTGAACGAACAAATGGCGGATTTCTTTAGTGTCGTACCATAATCTATCGATAAGTCATTATCGACATGCAAACATTTAATTAAAGTAGATCAATATTCCATTTGGGAGTATTTTAGGTTATATGGGAATATCCGGGAATGGCACATGAAATTTTGAATTTATTGTTTTGCGTTTACAAATACTCAAATATTACGAAAGGTGAATTTGCAAAAAATTAATATTTGTAAATTTGAGAGTACCTATAAATATAAAAAAGAGAAAACTTTGAAATATAAATCCTATACATTTCCAACCTCAAGATTTATATTTTCATAGATAAATTTTTAAACAGATTCCAAATAGTGTAAGCTTTTTGTATTTATGAATTGGTATAGAATTAATATCAGTGACTGATTTAAGTGAATCTTTAATACTTCCATTTAATATTGGACTATAAATAAAGTAGTAATATTATCAAAAATAAACGTTCATTTGCTTAAAACATGGTATAACAGGAGATGTAACAAGAGACAGTGTTAGTATAAACATGTTTCGCATATATTAAATAGCATGCAAATGTCTGATTATACAATGTCAATTGACTACTATTGGCCGAGCGCCTTTGATTTGTACAGAAAAATCGACACTTCTCCGAAGTGAGACAAGTAGTCACGAGCGATTGCGAGTTGTGACAAGCTACGTCAAACGAGCTCTATACACGTTAGCGTTCGCCTTCACTCGGTCAGCTAGGCGAGTGACACCGAACGATGGCAAGGCAAAACAAGGCAAATAGGCTGTCTATACGTTGGCATTGGCCTTCACCCGGAAACGTTAGACCAACATGGTCTTTGTGTTGCTGGCTTTATAAAATAAGAATTTTTTTATTTTAGTTGGAGTTGTCAGTGGGAAAACTCGGAAACGAGTGGATAACTTTGTTTTCAGGAACTGAGAATGCCTAGTAAATGAGTCTTGTTTAATCTAAATTAAATACAAAATTATTTACCAATAAACCTAATGATAGAATTGCATTATCATGTAATTTAGTTACATTCAAAGTTATGTTAAAATGTGACTCTTCAAAATGAAGCGAATAAATGAAGATGGTCTTTGATTCAATGTTTATATTCGACACTATTATACGGCGGTATGATTTCCAACCTTTCCTTTTTCTTTTTTAATTTGTACGTAAACTTGAAATAGTAAAAACAATAATAGTAATAAAATAATAAAAATCTCGTATTGAATTATTTTAATAACAGAATGTCGATAATATGTACGCTTCCAAGAACAACACTATCTCAAAATAATCGTTAACAACAATCATCAAAATATACAAACAAACAGGCAATCTGAAGAAACCAAAGCAAAATTTGGCAAGATTTATAAATAAACTACTTAAATATATCTAATTACATGAGATATTTGGGTTTTTGTGTGATTTATAGACAGATAAATAACACGTGCCTGTACAATGTTACATTCGGTCGATCTTCGCTTTTTCAAATGCCACATCCCGTAATGCTGCAGCGACGAATTTTTATTAATACTTCACTTGTTCTCACTGTCAATATTTTTGTCCATTTTATTACAATACATGCGAATAATTCAATAAAACATTTGGAAAAACATTTGTTTTGACATTTGATGTACTTCCCTTTGACAACTGTATCATGTACCTCATGTACTGCGAAATGGACACGGTTGGCATTTAAGATGACGTTACGTATTATCGATTCCCGTGTTTGACACAGAACAATGTAATGCTATCTCTTTTGGCTTAAGACGGCACGCAAGAGTTAAACAAAGACAATAACATGTTTATGTTTTCAACGTCGAAATGCATCATATACATATAACGTCTGATTTATATATGTCAACATAACATGTCCTTTAGTTTCCTTAGTCTAGATGCAAACGCGCGACTGCATCGATACAACCGCGCGATTGTATCGATGTAATCGCCTTTATATCCCAAGTGTAGCGATGTAATCGCGCGTTAGTATCGATGCAGTCGTGCGTTTACATTGCTACTTAAAATCGCGCGCATGTGTAATTTTAATTTAACTTATTGGAAGACCAACGGCTATCTTACAGAGTAACAACTGAATTAATAATGGAGAGCCAATTGCAGGTCCTCACCGATAGACACTCATTAAGTAAATGAGCATTAAATTATAACTATATAACTAGTAACTGTTTTATATACATTTTCCCAACACTTAGTAATTGCCTACTCGCCAAAAAAAAGAAACTTCTAATAAGACGCTTCACCAATGCAACACTGGTGTTAGAAAGGTCAATATCAACCTGCTTGGAAAATTCATTGAAGTAACGGGTAAATTAATTGCCACTAAATGCATTTAGACTTGAAATAAATATAAGGCCTCTTAAAGGTTACTACTACTCCGTAAACGAATTTCTGGAATGCAAAAATAACTCGCAGATCGAATAAGCCGATTGACTTCTGTACAACTGACATATGTATCACCTAATCTGTGTTATGCAATGTTTAAAGTAATGTAATCATAATAGTAAAATCAAATGATAATTTAATATTGACATCTTAGACATGATATATCTTTAACGTGATAAGATAATAATAGATTTAAATGTAATATTCTGAACTAATGACTTCCATAATTTGTAATAGTTTGCTTAAGAATATTTGTCCGCCATTATTGGTAGATTTTTTGTGATACTTAGCACTATTATTTACTAAACATCATATTGTTACATTAAGAAGTCACACAAATAAACAAATTTCATTTCAACATAGACGATTAGCAACTGCATCTCTACTGCATCCGCTTTGTGTAACCGTTCTTAGATCCGAGAAATAGTTTAATTTCCTACATAAAGAACAATTTTAAAGAATTATTCTAACTAGTACTGCTCTATATATCTACTGAATCTTTTCAATACTCGTTGTTAATAAAATTATCTTTGAGATGTTCGCTTTTCTCATGCAGGTCTCTGGGAGCTAATGCAGCTGGTTTCCCACAGGTGCCTGGAGGCAGATGGTGCTGTCACCCTGCTGCTTGGGCCACAAACTGTGTATGGTAACTTTTTTTTGTGATATTAAGTAACGACACCTGGTGATAAGCAACACGTCTGTGACAGTTGCAGTGCCACTTAGAGCTTTGAACCGCAAAGGTCTGAGACACACTGTCTCTGCTCCCATCAACTTGAGACGTAAGTTGACAAAGTCCTAAGAGCCTGTGATGTCACGAATACCCTTACCCTTTAATAACTTGCGATAATTTCTTGCGTATTTCATTTTTTTAATAATTTATTTATTAGTTTCCAAATCATTTCAATATTACAACAAAAGTTAATTTTCTTAGTGTTCGATGTTACTCGTGGAGTAATGACACAAATAATTATACCGTTTATATTAAAAAATATAAAGCAACTTCAAAAGTTTATGGAATTACATCTATTTGCCAAGTTTTATTGAAAACGGTTATCGGAAAGTGGTTGAAATTCAATAAATCTGATTTATCCCCTAATTTGCTACCCATAGAGGCGGAATATTTTCTTCAAATTTAAATGGGACCAATACTGAGGTATTCTCATTGAGTAACTGCGTAACATACACACAAAAAAATATAGTGGAATTGAGGTCCTCCTTTTTTTAAGTCGGTTAAAAATACGTATAACATATAATGTCGATCTGTTACTTACACATTTACTCGTATTTGTTTTGATCACACGTGTCCCTCGATAGATAATTTTTATTTAAAAAAAAGGAACCGACTTCAGGCTTCGCTTATGTGTGCATACCTAGGAACTGAAACTGAAAGTTAACAATAGGTTACCGGAAAGTACGCGGAACCGGATTCATCCCCTAGTTCGCCACTCTTAGAGGTGAAATATTTTCATCCAATTTGGGACCACCACTGAGGTATCCTCTTTTCAACAAAAATCATCCAAATTGGTTCACAAATAACACATACACACAAGAAAATACAGTTAGTAGTAAATAAAGAATTGAGAACCTCCTCTCTTTTTTGAAGTCGGTTAAAAATAATTGAATATCATTGTAGTAAAACATCGTGGCATTCAATGAACTTAATATTAGATTTTCAAAGGTTAGAAAAGGCGTCCGTCACAATTTTTTATTACGTGGACTTTTTTAACTCTAGACTATATGTGTCACCGCATATTATACTTACTATTTTAGTCCTTACCGATCCCGAAATGTGCACCGCGGTGGCCAACACGTGTTTGGACAAGAGCGAGTTTTACCAATTCGGTAGGCGATGGGTGGGCGATGGCCTCGTTACTGCTGACGGTAAGGGACAAATTCATGTTTATTATGTTCACTCATCGAGTACATAACCAGAAATAGAGACGAAATGTCATTTAATTTGTTAGAAAACTATTCTGCCATATCATTATTGTGACAACCCCGCTCCGATTGGCTAGCCCTAGTTCGAAACAATTGACGGGTGTCGTCAACGGGTGTTGTCAACTGTTTCACTTTAACTCAACCAGTTAACTTGAGGTTTGCTATAATAGACGAAAATTGCAAAATTACATATTAAATATTTAATTACCGATGAAATGTGATTCCGTTTGTTTTTTTATTGGATGTTTTGCAGTTTTTCCCACACCACCGAATAGAACAGCACGGCATTGTTAGAGATATTATCTTTATTACAATAAATACAGAATATTTTTCGGAATATACGGAGACGTACACACAGGTCAGTAGTTGGTCTGTCTATATTTCAGTGCAAACGGGAGTTGATATTTACAAGAGCTGTATCGCTAATGTGTTACCAGGAATATATGGCCCTTATTTCGTCTCTATTTCTGGTTATGTACTCGATGTGTTCACTTGACTAAGCCCATTTTCTGAATCAAATTCAAATACATCTTTATTTCATAAGAATAAACTTGAAATCGTCACGTTGACACTACGGCTCATCCGTAAGGTACTAAAAAAGTTTAAGAATCTCTAGGAATTGTAAATAGACTATAATATTTAAAGTAAACGATAATTTTATGGGGTACTGTATACGTTTTCACAAAAAGATTTCGAAGCATATATTAATATTATCATTCCTATGTTTAAGTATTTTAATTGAAAGTCGTATTACAAAATTTAAGACTACGTGTTAGATAACTGCTTCCGTGGTCGAACGGTTACAATGCTGGACTGCCACGCAGAGCTCCCGGGTTCGATTCCCGGGCCGGGAGAAATATTTACGTGGCCTAAATTTATTTCTCTCGTGAGTTTGGGTGTAATTTGTGATTATCTATGTGTGTTTAAATGGCACCCGTGATACAGTGTTTCCCTAATAATAACGCACACACTAACAGCCCCGGGGCTGTTAGTGTGTGCGTTATTATTATTATTATTAGATAAAGATGTATGGAAAGACGACATAAGTCTAGATTCCACAAAATATGATACAAAGTGTATTCCATAGTATTATTTAAGTTAATTTGAAAAGAGCAATCCCTAGAGTAACTTGCTCGTTTTTCACGGGGAGGTCAGCGCAGTCACCGTACATTAGCTTAAAAAATGACGTTTTCAGCCGTAACATTTTACCTAAGGAATAATGATTATTTGAGGCGAATGGATCACCATGGCCCTTGTCATCCAAGAATGCAGAAGTTATATGATAATTTTTATTCGTTATAAAGTTCTTGTGTTTTGTGGCATTATAAGCATGTTTAAATTCAATTAAATATTAGACAACATTACATACGTTGCTCTGATCAAGTAGACCAAAGTAACAAGCCAAAGCACTTTTGTTGTTGAAATAGGAAACAACGACGGTACCACAAACACCCAGACTCGAGACAATATAGAAAAGTTAATTTCAACATTGCTCCGGTAGGGGATCGAACCCGGGACCTCAGAGATGGCGACACCATGAAAACCGGTGTGCAAGTCGCACCACGGAGAGACGGTTTTTTATAGAAAATAAATTCATAATTAAATTTGTGACTTTGTGAAGATGAATGTTACGGGTAACCACTTAGTTTTTTTTGTAATTCCCTTATTTATGTTTCGTTTATCATTATTTTTCAATGAAATAATTACTATTAACATATCGATTATCTGTTGTCACATTCATTTTTATCGCGACATTTCATTTATCGTCAGACGACTGTCGTTCTAGCTATTCCCATTGTGACGACAGTCTGTCGTCGTAAAACGACAGTAATTGTGTTGTACTATATGTGAATTTAATTTAAATATACAAGCCAAAACACTTTAAACTGCACGACTTTCTGTCGTCACAACAATGGAAATGCGTCCTAAAGGGCCCGAAACGTTAGTTTGCTTGAAAAAACAAATATACGCAATTTACCTCCGGAAAAATGGTTTCATTTCCTACATGTAACAAAATTATCCATCACCTATTAAACTTGAATTGTTGTAGTACCAACCTGGAAGTACCACCGCAAGCTCCTCAATCCTGCGTTCAGTCAACAAGTGTTGGATGGATTTCTTGGCGTCTTTAATAGTCAGGCCAGGAGGTTGGTAGCTGATCTAGAGGACATAGAGGAGGAGTTCGATCATTGGCCGCATCTGGCTCTTAATGGTTTGGAGACTATTTGTTGTAAGTACCTATCTATAGCTATTAGTTTATTTAGCCATTACTTAATTTTTACAAATGAGTTTAAAAAAATGGTCACCTATCAGAAGTCCGAAAGGACAAGTTCCAGAAGTAATGTTTGCTCGAATTTTCATAACCTCGAAAGTAATTTTGAGAGGAAAATGTTTTTTCTTTTAAGCCTAAGTTAACCTTTTTTTGCGTGGGGAAATCCTCCTAGGATACCTCTCCGCTGCAGGGGCAGCGAGAGGTTATGACTTCTACCAGCTAAAACCCCACGGTGGCCTTCTCGGGTGCTCTAGAGGGAAGGATCCGGGATCGACTTTGCGCGCCGGAACCCCCTCAGTACTTCCCTACCTCACGACGAAGCGGGCCACACCGCCCCGTCGTCCTCCTCGCGGCTGCCTAACTTACTAGCGAACGAAGCCCCCGCTCCGATCGCCCGCAGCCGCGAAGGTACGCCGCCGCCGAACGGGGTCGGCCCTCTCCCGGTCACGCCTTGCAACCTCCTTCTGAAGCATCACCGCTTCACAAAAGGAGACCACAGCCTCATGGGACTCTTGATCTGCCAACATAGCCGCTACTATGCCTGGCGGAGAGAGATCTCGCCCGATCCGGGCAATATGCTATGCGGGGCACTCCTCCAGCGTGTGCTGGGCGGAATCCTGATCCCTTTCACAGTGGTGGCACTGCGTCGTAGACTCGCGTCCGATCCGATTCAGATACTCACCGAAGCATCCGTGCGCGGAGAGTATCTGTGTCAGTCGGAACGTGGTGAGCACTTCCGCTGGCTCAACCAAACTTCAAGGGCGGGCAGGATCGCGCTGACGGCGCGCTGGCGCGAGATCCACGGCTGTTCCAGCCACTTCTCGAACGCCCGTCGGCGCTCCTGCCACCGTACTTCCGGCGGCGAAGCTTCCTCCGCCAGGCGGAGGTGCGCGTAAATACGCGCGTCCATCTCCGCCAGAAAGTCCAGCGGGAGAAACCGCGCCAGGACTGTCGCCGCGTCAAAGGATACGGTGCGGTATCCTTGTGCGATCCTTATGGCCATGCGGCACTGCACGCCATTGAGCATGGTTTGCAACGCCGGACGCCCGTCAGTCGGTGTGACCAGACGGGTGCCCCATACAGGGCCACGGATCGCACCCCCCACCTTAGAAACGGCGAACTCCCTCCGAAGGGCCCCCCAGGTTGGGCAGCAACCGGTGCAATGCACCCGCCACCCTATTGATCCGGGAACCAGGCACCGGAAGTGCTCCTCGAAATCCCAGCGACCGTCCAGGATGAGGCCCAAGTATTTTAAGTACTGCCCCACCTGGGCGCCGATGTTACCAACGCGGATCGAGAAGCTGGGTGGTTCCCTCCCTCGCGGGAGTTTGTGGAACCACAGCGTCTCAGTTTTCTGAGGCGCTACTCGCAAACCCAGCTCCTCGATTTTTTCGACGACGCGAGAAACCCCGAGCTCAGCGAGCCGGATGGTCCTCTCGAAGTCCTCCCCTCCGGCGAGCACCAGGTTGACATCAGCATAACACACTAGATGCCCGCCCGGGGGGAGTGCGACCCTCAAGACAGCATCGTATGCGAGGTTCCAAAGGAGTAAACCTAACTTAACCAAATCTTACCGAACCTAATCGTGTCTTTGCGATAAACGTCCAACATATCCTGAAAGAACAACGGTTTCGTTACAATTCGGTTTTCGGGGTAATGAAAAATTTGAACAAACGTTATTTCGGGCAAAATAAATTCGAGTTTGTGACAGGTTACCTAAAAAAATCCTTGATTTTAAAGAATGTGGTTCTTCGTGTCAAAAAAGAATATTACTTAAAAAAAGTATAAATCAAGCTCATCTTGTATATTGTCCTAAGTACCTCAGAAACAAGTGACAACCCTGAAAAAAAATGCGTAAGTTCTTCCAATTCTAAAGTCCATGAGATTCGCATTTGGGTTTTTCGTGAGCAGAATATGAGATCTCAATAATTATATAATAACTATATTTTCCAAATACGGCAGAATTTTTAGTAAATACATATAAAAACGAAAGTTTACAAATAATATAATAGAATGAATCATTGACCAATAACTCAAGAAGATTGCTAATCTCCATGCTACAGCAGGCTGATTTTAATTCAAGTCGGAATGGATCCGATCGGGTAGCCCATCCGAGTCTCGAAATCAGATGGGTTTCCGAGCGAGAAGATGAACCTGATTCCTAATATATCTTTCTAATTTGTGAGTTAAATCAACTATTGTTCCGATGTGAAATGTCAAAAGTTTCCGATTGGTCAGTTGTGCGTCTCGACTCGGAAGAGACACAGTTTCCGATCGGGAGAGGCAATCAAAATCAAGCTGATCGTAACTCTGAAAAAGATCAAAATTCCGTCTTATATCCGGATGGCGCTGACACATAGCCTGGAAGTGGCTTATATATGTAAATGACCGTGGATATCGATTAATTCCTCTGTAATATGAAATATAAGTAGTCAGTTTCTTCCTTGTAATATTATTCAAATATTGACCATGAGCCAGAATTATTTTCTGAACTTTGACTAATGTGCGCGTCTATAGATGGTATTTGTAATAACAAACTAATTATATATAAATGAACGCTTGCTAATAGATAGATGGCGCTAATCCTAAATAAAATAAAAAATAGCTGGCAGTATGTATAAAAATCAGTGCAATAAGCGTCGCCTATTTGATTTGTTTGTTATCACTGGAAATTAGAATAGTTTTGATAAATTGCAGCTTGTCAATGTGAAATAAATTAGTAACAAAAATAGCTATTTGGTACTCGTGGTACTATAATGTGGTGGAATACCCGATAACGCTATCGTGTGTCGTGATTAGCAGTATCTACTCTTGAGTTATAAAGTAAAAGTTCTTAAACGTACATCTTGAGATGCATTTTCGAACTATGTATGCCATTTTTGTTGTGGTTCTAATTTTAGTGTACGATAGGTTTTCACTTTATCCGGTTTTAATCGGATATTTTGAGTAAATTCTAATCTACTCAATTAAAAATATATATATATATGCTATAACTATGCACTTTTGCCACCGGGTGTGCAGCTTCAACGTTTTAAATAATTCAATCTACATATATACACTTGGAAAAAAAGACAATGCGTAATTTAATGCGAAATACTCTGTGCAACGTATAAAAATAATTCTCTGTTAATATTAAACCCGAAACTTCTTAATACGGCTGAACATTAAACTTACAACTGTTTTGCTTTCATTCCCGTTTTCAGTAACGTCACTGGGAATGGAAGTGAATACACATGAGGACAAACGCCTTAACAAACAATTTTTCCACGCTCTCGAAGAGATGTTTCACATAATAATGGAGCGAGTGACAAAGGTATGGTTATACAACGACCGTGTGTACAGCTGGACAAGACTAAAGAAAAGGGAAGATAAGTTATTGGAAGTTCTGCACAATATGTCTAACAAGGTAACGTAAGTTATTACAGATAAAGATTTATTTGTTTCTCCCAATAGCTTACAAATATTTTTTTTACCAATTTTCATCAGCAAAGCATGAAATATTTTTTTTCATTCGAATTTTAATTTTGGTGTTATCGTGTTTATTTAAAAAAATAAAAATAAAATCTTTCACAGATTCTGCAAAAACGAAAACAGGAGCTAAAAGATAACAACAACATCTTAAATCAAATAGACCTTCTAGGTGGGAAATTCAAGCCGTTCTTAGACTTACTACTGGAACTAGCTGAAGAGAAGTCTGTCTTCACTGACCAGGAAATCAGAGAACATGTTGATACTATGATCGTGGCTGGACATGATACTAGTGCTAATACTTTGATGTATACTTTGGTATTGCTTGGATCACACTCTAAAGTACAGGAAAATGTTTATCAGGAGTACGTATGTCTACATTTTATTTTGTTTCCATTTACGATCTGTCCTTGAAGCATTAACAGATCCAAGTATAAAATGTATTTTGGAATAAAGGATTCTGTGACGCTTTATCTTCTTCACTCATTACCGAGGATCGGCTTAGGCGGAGTATGTTTATTTTAAGGAAGTAATACACACATAGAGTGAATAATACCTTCCTCTGCAAATTGTTGTGGTTTGTTCATATTTTTCATATGCAAATAGACATGTAGTGTTTAGGGATCAAGCACATTTTTGCTAATTACTGAAAATCAGAATTTTTGATTATTTCTTTATCACCATTGACTTTATTTTTATTTATTTCATTTTCAAATTCAAATTATAAAATTGACCAACATAAAATTTACACTTTTGACGTGTGTATTTGCCACTGTAGTGTATTTAGAAGAAAAATGTAGGAAACTTATTTTGAATTGTTCGTCAGCGGTTCCGGTAGTAATCGAGGCATAAGGCACTTCCAATGTTTTTTTCTTCCGTAGTTAAGGGTATTGGTTACCATCAGGCTCACAACTCGGTCGTCATCGCGTAACTTGATAATAATAAAAATTTACCAAAGATACCAACATGCTATACTCCGGATTGTAGAGCTCAATTTATTTCACGATTTAACAAGTATTCATATAGTAAAAATTACATTAATACACAAACGACATTATGATATGTTCCCATAGAGATTAACAAAATAGGTAGATATCTTATTTAACTTCATATTTGTTAACAGAATACTGGAAGTACTGGGTCCAGATAGAGACGTAGAGAAGCAAGATCTCTCGCGATTGGTTTACACGGAGGCTGTTATTAAGGAGAGTCTTCGTCTTTATCCCATCTTTCCCGTCGTTACACGGACCTTGGATAAGGACATTAAGCTGAGTAAGTAATTTTTAAGAATTTTATTTTGATTATCACTTGATTATGTTTATGAGAACCCTAAAAGTAATTATTAATATAAAGATCTAGCATAAAGAAAAAGTCCTTCGATCTGACAGGACGACAACCAGCGTCTGTATGCCAATCTAGGGCAACCTGCCAGGTACCTTGTATTCGATCTTTGTATTAATAATTATAACAAACTGTGTAGTAGAGTAATTTCACAAAAACTAAATAGATATATCAATACCATTTAGGTGTCGGCAGAATGTCAGCGCTACAAACTTGTAAAGTTGGCAGCATTGCGCTGAGCCGAAACCTTTTCAATACATTGTTTGTTGTAACCTTCCTTTTCTTGTTATATGTAATGTTGCGATGTAATATGCTGAATTAATGCTTTAACTATCTATCGTAAACGCTAATCCGTTTTTTTTTGATAGAAGATCTTTTATCAGACGCCATTTCATTCAGCCATTTTATAAACAAAGCAATTTAGTCAATACCGGAAAACAAAATTCTCAAATATATTTTCTCATTTTAGTAATTATTACTTTTTTTTAGTACTTACAAAAGGTTAAAGAAAAATTTTCTATCTATAATTTTAAAGACATTTTTGTACTATAAAAATCTTAAAAAACAAAGGCTCCAAACATTAAGCGGCAACTTTTTAGAAAATAATCACAAACTGTCATTTGTAAATTTCATTTGACATCTTTACCGTAATTTCTTGTCTGAACAAAAAGTTTACAAATCACTACTTCTTTGATCATAGTTTTACTAATTCTAAAAGAAAAACGAAATAAATCGAGTCGAAACGAATCATGCTTATCTTACCTATCTACAGTGATACTGTCAATGTCATTTCCCCATCTCACTACTATAAAGTTACGACTAAAAACTTCTTAATAAGATCATACAATTCATCACATTAACGACAGCCATATAAGGAACACAAAGGTAAGTAAAAAGGATTGGCGAGAACAAAAAAACGAATGTAATGTTCATAACCAATATTGAGACGCTCGTCATTTATAATACTACTCGTAAAGAACTTATTTCTTGTACCGATGACACGAACATTGATGTCATAAGTCAATACTAGTGACATCATTCCAGGGTTCAAAAGTAAATGGACCTTGTATAAGCGTGTTCGAAGGTGAAGGGGAAACAACTGACGATCGAGCTTTACAAGGATGTTACAATACCATAAATAAATATAAAAAGTAAACAACTTTTTTGCAATCTGATTTAATTATCCACGCGTCTTGTACAGTACTGGCTTCTAGGATACTGACATTATCTATAATGAGAACTTACGTACATCATACGACAAATTTCAGTGTGAAGTGTATTGTATATAAGATTATTGAAATGACATGACATGGTTATTGAATTCTTACAAGGCTTTCCTAGTATCATAAAAGATTACTATTTTGGTGGTTAGAGCTCCGCTAAATGTGCCGGTGTATGTAGTTTTACGGAAAACTGATTAACCACGAACCTCAACATTAGTTTTTAGGTCATGTCTGTTGAATATCCTAGAGTATATTATTATTATTATTTTTATGACTCTAATGGACGAACAAATCTTGCGCTTGGTGGTAAGCGACACGTCTGTTCATAACAGTTGAAGTGCTACTCAGAGTTTTAAATCGAAAATATCTGAGGGTCACTACAACAGCGCTCGTCACCCTGAAACATAAGTTGACAAGCCCCATGTGCCTGTAATTTCACCGGCACCCTTCAAAACCAAAACACTCACATTACTGCTTCGCGGCAGAAACAGGTAAGGTGGCAAACTTCCCTGGACGAACACTTTCACAACGAGATCCACTGCTACTAATATAAAAAATAAGATCAAGACCGTGTCAATGTCCGCTAAAAAAATACCACTTATAAAATACAATGCCAAAAAAAGTCAGTATAAAGATCTATAGGTAATAAAAACACATAAAAGAATTTCGACGACTCGGTAACTGGACCCGTGGCTCAAGTCTTTGTATTCATAATTATAACAAAACCAGTGAAGTTATTTCACAAAAAATCTCAATAAAAACACAATATATTTCATAAGATATAAAAATAATTTTAAGTTGGTGCAGGTAAAACATTCAGCCGTCAACAAACAAAACAAAAAACAAGCGACGATAAACAAATGTCTTTTGCTACTGCGTGGTTTTTAGCATTCTAAAGCAATGTTTGTAAAAACTTGTATGAATATACTTAAGGTCCTTTACCTCCCACCGACAGATATATACTTCGATATAAGTAATAACCTTTGAACTCAAGTAAAATGAACGCATCAAGTTTTACAGGTCAGGTCGTTGAACACGTCACGGTCTACCACTTGCGGTGTTCCATGACAGCAATGTGAAACTTGTTGTAATTGTTGTAATTGCAAAGATCAAGAACTCCAGATTATACAGCACTATCGATTACGAATTGAATCCGAGAAGAGAAAGAGTGTCGTCAATTAGCTATCGGTGTCGTGAAATGTTCAATAGTGTGCCAGACCTACACCAATTGCCTGGTCTCAAACTAGGAAATTCCCTGTACTACGAGTAACAGAGCAACGGAATTCACTCTTGGGCACTTCCTAAAACACCCAGAGCAGAACCAATTTAGAAGAGTTCATTTTTCCAAAATTGGTCTTACCGGGAATCGAACTCGGGACCTCCGCATCCAGCGCTTACAGTGCAAACCGTTAGGCCACCGAGGTCGACAAAATTTATATAATTATAATTTGATTCGAAAAAGCTTTTTTGTGACTGCCGCTGGGGTGTTGTAATTTTCTATACCAATAGTTATGTATTCACTTTAAAATCGGGGTACAGATATAGGGAATAATTTACCTTTAGAATGAAAGAGCCTAATCCAAAAAGTTAACAAAATGAGTGTATAGGCGTAAAATGAGTTTAAAACACATTTTTCATAAGGTGGTTAACCATTTAATAAACGCGAGCCTCCGTGCTATCTATAAAATAATGTAGTGGTTCCCTTGTAATTGAGGGTCGAAAATTCGATTTCCATTGCTGACGTTTCTTACGAAAATAGAGTATCAGGTTTTATCTTGGTGGTATATATTTTACCATTATGCGTTCAAAACTTGAAAATAAAAGTAGCATATTTAATCGGTTACTAAAAACAAATAAGTTGGTAATAATTGATTTTTGTTTTACTAAGGGTTAACAGACCCTTACTAGACATTAAAGCTCTTTCATAATAATGTTAGAAATTCCACTCTCGCGGCGGTATGTAAACGCCGCATTTAAAAGTTAATACTATCTCAAAGGGCTTTGGTTGATTCCGCATAACGGTGAAAGAGTTGAATCAATCACGTTGGAAAAGTGACGAATTAGCAATTGAGCCGTTCTCCGAATATCATCTATTCTTTTTTTGATTTTTACAAGTACCATTTTACTACTTAGAGACCTTTGTTTCACAATTAAAATGATTTAATCTTGATAAGGTGATAAACATCTTATTAAGCTGATGAATATTAAAGAAAGTTAATTTTTCTTAAGTCAAATGTCAACAAAAAATCTCAGTAAAAAAGTGACCAATAAGGTAAAGTTTTTGTAAATCATTTTTTCAAAAACTAATCAAAATTAATATTTTTTTATTTTTAAATGTCAAAATAATCAAATGCTATCGGGTTATAAAGCTGAATGTTTCTTCACAATTTTACAGAAGTATTAAGGTTATTATATATATATGTATAAGGTAATCTTTAGTTTTTCAAGAGTACCTAATAAATGAATGGGAAAATGTCACAACTGCAAATCATATTTAGGAATTCTCAAAATAGTTGTGATTTTGTGTTGGGTCACCTTTATTCACCTTTATTAAAGGTGCGAATTATGCACTGTCAACTTGGAGTTATTAGTTGCAGTGTACGTACAATTTCGCCTGACCTCGGTGTCATTTAAGGTGACTCAAGATAAAATATGATAATTATTACCCACGTCAACTTACAACCAGTAAAAAGTTTATCAGATTTAACATGTCTGTAACATTTGTATAAGCAGAGTTTTTATTTTCAAGACGAACGAAATAAATGACTCATTTATCTGTGTTATATACAGTGTTATTGATTTGTTTTTTCTTTTGTGAAATAATTTCATTATTTTTGTTATAATTATTAAATACAAATATCGAACACAATCGATCGACATCGATTTTTTTTTCAAAAATTCAATGCAAACATCTATAACAGACACAAACAGAATACATTTGTCGACTTAGTAATTCGAACTGTAGCTTTGTTCGTAAAGCAATGAGTACGGAATCCCGTGGTTGCACGTTCGAGTCGAGTCGAAGGGTTTTTCTTTGTGTTCGATTCTTGTATTCAATAAGTATAGATAATATAGGTTATATAAAAATTGACATTAACGAAATTTATTACTTGCTTTGTTTTGTTTTTATTTATGCCCGGCCAAACTAATGACATTGAAACGTACTAGAGGTATGGAAATGAAACTATTTTTTCCGTATCTAAATGTCGTACATTTGTTTTTCAAACAAACCAACAAATAAATTTAAAATTGTTCTTGGGTTCATTAAAAATAAAGTATTTAAATTAATAATTTTAGTAACTATAGTTCAGCATAGAGTGGTTGGGACATAATTGGTTAATGACTTTAAACTTTAAGACTGAGAGCAGATATATGGTAAGATTGTTTCATTTAGTTAAGTACCTACACAAATGGACTATAGTCATGCTTTTTATAGTCAGGGGCGTAGCGTGGGGGGTGCAGAGGGGGCTACGGCCCCATGCGGCACAGAAATAATGACGAGCCCTAATGAGTCAAAATTATTCTTTTGTCCTCCAAATTAGAAAATAAATTCCACTATTTGAAAAAACGATATCCTTAATTCTGCTAATATTCTTAAAATGACTGATCATCGTAATTCCATTGAGACTCGACTGACATTATAATTGCAGTTATCATATGGCAGTTATGATAATGTTATTTTGATAGAATCTAGTTGCAATGGCAGTTGAGTCGAGTGTGAGCAAAATTTTGTTTTTATTATTTTTTTTTGTTCATAGCATGTATACATATTTATTAATCTTTCAAAATAATAATATAGTATTGCATGGTTTTTGTTTGAAATTTAGGAATTGTCTTTTTGTATAAGTTGTATTTTGTTTCTTGTAAGGTGTTATTTGTTAAATGTTGCCCTCTCTGTGTGTTTTTGCTGTGCCCAACAGGGTCCCAAAGCTCTAATGTAAGCGTGTCCACCTGCGACATTGTAACCTTTTGGAAATGCAATAAAGTATTGAGTATTGAGTCTGAATGGAGTGTCAGTGGAATGGCAGTGATGGCACTCTTTCATTTAATCACTAACAATCGATATTGCCTTGCTAAAACTACCATAGAAATTACTATGCATATCGTAATTTTTATCTCGATTAATGAGTAATTTAGTTTTCAAATTATATGTAATGTTAATACAATTTGCAGTAACTCGATGGCTAGCCACTGACAAGTAAGTTACTCTTAACTTTTATATATTTATAATTGCGTACGAGTTTTTGTCACGAAGCGTGCGATAAACTCTCTCCATATAAATGGGCCTTAACACAAAAGCACAATCGAGCCGGGCCTGTCTGGACGAACTACTTATTGTAATCGTGAAAATAAGGAAGACAACAAATTTGACCCTGGCCTTGAATTTGGCCCTGGACGGCAGAAATCAACGCCACTGGCTTTAGTCATCATATCAGCCGGAAGACGTCCACTGCCGAACATAGGCCTCCCCCAAAGATTTCCAGACTAGCCGATCGGACGCGACGTGCATTTATCGGTTACCCGCCGCCCTTACCATTACCATTAGGTCATCCATCCATCTAGTAGGGGGCTGTCCCACTGAACGCCTTACGGTTCGTGATCTCCATTCGTGAAACTTTCTGCCGCAACGGCCGTCAGTTCGGCGAGCTATGTGTCCTGCCCACTGTTACTTGTGCTTGCTAATCCTTTGAGCTATGTCGGTGAGTTTCGTTCCTCTAAGGATCTCCTCATTTGTGACTCGATCACGTAGAGAAATGCCGAGCATTGCTCGCTCCATTCGTAGAGTGACTTGGTTTTTTATGGGGTCTATAGTGAGTGACATACATAATACTTTTTCATTTGATTGCTTAATCATTACAATAAAAAATTAAGAAAAGTCCAATCAACAATTAATTATACAGAAACATGCCTTTACATAAATTGCATTCCATTTCATAAAAATATCATTAGTTATCATAAAAACATAATAAACTCGATTATTAATATTATAAATCAAAAATAAACGAGGTTCAATTTAATAAATAATGATAGTGTTACGAAATAGGAAGATATTAAGGAAACAATAAAACTAAAGGTGATTGTTGATTACGTCGAATTATAATCATTATAATGGATTGAATTAATCACCTCGTGTTATCCAGTAGTTAAAGGCTAATTAAGTGTAATATTACCAGGAAAAAAAACAAATCGACAAAAGCAAAAAAAAATCTGCATAAAAAATACAGTAACCTTTTTCGTTATGGCATTGACAACTACAAAAGACACTGCTACTGCCATCGTTCTTGGTCACTTTCCATAACACTATGGACCAATGCTCCATGGTGTTATGGACCACTACCAATGGTGATAAGACTGAGGATGGCGAAAGTTAAAATAACATCTAATTTACCAATTGAAGTTATTTGCTTCCTTCTTAAACCGTTTATGGCCGGTAACAGTGTTTACCGTAAAATGAAATATCAGAATATAAATAGTACGGGGTACACCGTTTCGCTACATTGATTTGAAAAAACCAATTACGGGCTTTACAGTGCGATTTCCAAGTGCTTTATGTGTTGTTGCCGCCTACTGCTTTTCATAAAGAAGTATCAACAGCGTACTGACAAAATTCAATGAAATATAAACATTGCATATTTTTATATTTCATTGAAATTTATTTTTCCGGAAGCCTGCTAAATCCCCAGCGTTTCAACAGTGTTATTGATTTGATTTTTCTTTTGTGAAATAACTACACTAGTTTCTTGTAATTCATAAATACAAATATCGAACATAAAAAAATCGATTTTTCTTCAAAAATTAAATGCAAACATCTATAACAGACACAAACAGAAGAAATTTGTCGACTTAGTAACTCGACGCGTGATGCGAATGAAGCTTCATTCTTGATACATGTCTTTTAATTTTGTAGAATATTACTTATTTGACAGCAATTGTTTCGGACGGACGTCTGACGGAGAATGAGAGTAGACCCTCAGGTTCGAATCGAGTCGAAGGGTTTTTCTTTGTGTTCGATTCTCGTATTTAATAATTATAGGTAATACAGGTTGTATAAAAATTGACATTAACAAAATTTATTACTTATTTTGTTTCGTTTCTCACTATGCCCGGCCAAACTATAGGCATTGAAACGTACGGAAGGTATGGAAATGAAACTATTTTTTCCGTATTTAAATAGCGTACATTTGTTTTTCAAACAAACCAACAAATAAATTTAAAATTGTTCTTTGGTAAATTAAAAATAAAGCGTTTAAATTAACAATTTTAGTAATATAGTCCAGCATAGAGTGGTTGCATTAATAATAGACATAACTGGTTAATGACTTTAGATAGTATCCAAAATACTTTATACTTTGTAACACTTTATTATTGTAGATGAATATGCCATAGGCAGGCGAAAAACATGCTGCGTCACGACACTCGACTCTGCGCCAGTGTGAGTTGAGCCTTAATGTAGTGATTTGGTATTGATTTTTAATATAATGAAAAGTTCATTTAATTTACAGACAGGTAGGGTATAATAAAAGAATATAAGTTTAAATACTAGACATTCAAACCAGGATTAAACCAAGATGAAATTATATGAATAATATTGGATCCCCGCGGCCATTGGGTGACCAAGATGCTGGTAGAGTCTTCCCTTTGTATAATAATAAACATTTTGTAATAAAAATAATGAAAATAAAAGCTAAATGCGGTTTTGTCTCTATATTGGGGGAGTATCGTGATAAGAGCTCATTTCATCTTTTTAACCGACTTCAAAAAAGGAGTATGTTCTCAATTAGACTGTAGGTATGTTTTTAATATATAATATATACCCACTGCTATTACAACGGTGTTGTAACTCAAAATATATGAAATTCGGGACTATATATCGCACTACTATTACAATAGTATTGTAACTCAAAAAATGTGAACTTCAAGGTTATACCATTTCTAAATGTAAAATTTGTTTTTCTACATGTCAATAAAATTGTCATTAGAATATTGTAAGAAACCATTAAAATACTTAACCCGAAGAGACAAACGTTTTGTGAGCTAGTTCAGAACAAAACAGTCCTTACTCAAAAATATGAAATTATTTTTCACTTACTTTCAAATATACTATTTGGCAAGTAGGAAATTGTTCAGATGTCTAATAAATTTTAACCTTTATATAAATTATAATAATCGTTCACGGGAACTGAGTAATTGTATTTTTCAGCTATATTGAATAAATTAATTTTGTGTTAATACACTATTGTATTAGCAGTGCGATATCATCTCTGAACTTAAAATTTGATTCACTACACGTCAATAAAACCGTCGTCGTTACAATATTGTAAAAAACACTTGAAAGACAACTATTTAACTCAAAATGAGACAAACTTTATGTCAGCTAGTACTGGCCAAAACAATCCTTACTTAAAAATATGAAATTAATTTTTCTCTTTTAATTAATTTACATATATTTATGACGTCGAAAATAGATTAGATGTCTGTAATATACTTTAACCTTTGTATAAATTTTACGGGAAGTGAGTATTTCGTTTTTCATCGAATCTGAAAAATACACTTTTTGAGTTAATACACTATTGTATCAACAGTGCGATATGTTACGCGATAATTCAGTGAACCGATCATTTGTGAACTGATTCTGATGATTCTTTTTTGTTCGAAAGAGGGTACCTACCTCAGTTGTGGTCCCATTTAAATTTCAAGAAAATATTCCACCTCTAAGGGTGTCAAACTAGGGGATGAATCCGGTTTAGTGCACTTTCCGGTAACCGATTTCAATGAAACTTGGCAAAAAGGTGTAATTCCACGAACTTCTGTACTGAGATTATATTGATTTATACATATTTTATGCAGCGTTGTCAGTAAGTGACAGTGGTTTAAAATTAAATGGTTGTCATTAACATTTCATAAACTTAACAAGCGGAAGCCCTAAAGATTGGTGCCTGTTCTTTTCAGTAAAATGTGTGTTGCGAATAACAATAGAGTTGAAAATATGATGATAAGTTTACCTTCAATACAGACATTATGATTATGTTTTTTAACTTTTGTTCACAGGAAACTATACCTTATTTTCCGGGAATCTCTGTTTCATTATGGTATATGGCCTACATCGTCACTCCGTATGGGGCCACGATGCAGCACTGTTTCGACCGGAACGATGGCTGGATGGTAGTCTACCAGATAGTGCCAACGCCTTTGCTGGTTTCAGTATCGGCAGGAGGGGATGTATTGGTGAGTAGATGATAAAAAAATTAAGTTGAATATATCATATCTATTTCTTTATTTAGACAACTAAACGCCGATAAGGTAGACTTCTGGATTTATATAAAACAAGAATTTGACGCATCTTCCGAAATAATTGACGCGAAAACTAAAAATTAATTGTTGTATGTCAATCTGAAAGAAAATGAATAAAGGCGAATGTGATTAACACGAAGGCGATGGCAATAGAAGTAATAGAATTTGTGTAGCTGGCTGGGTAGTCTGTGATAAGAGATAGTTAGTGTGAAGATGATATTGAACGGAAAGTAATAGTCGAAATCAGGTAAATAAAGCTCTGTAAATGCAATGTTATTCATTTTGTATAAAAAACATTTTACAAAATTGAACCAACTTCTGCGTCCCGATTTTATCGTCTCATGCAACGAAACGATCCCCTCATGAACTGCATCGATCAGGACAAATAAAATTTTGATCAGTTTTATTAATTTTTATGGACAACTCACTCTTGACCAAAAATGGACAATGCCAAAATTGTTTTCACAAAAAAAGACTTGATGGTTACTAAGACAGTTTCCTTGTATCTTCTATGGTTTCGGATTTTCCCACACTGTCCCGTTTAAATAAAAACTGTGTTTTAAGTTGATGTCGTTGGAATGTTGCAAATTCTACGTTTAAAAAAAAACAAGTTGAAATCACTTTATTTTTTTTTATTAATAATTTTGGCTTGGATACATGTCCTTTGAGCCATGTCTTCGTTTAATTATGTTTCTGTAAATATGGCCGCCCCAAAGAGGATAGGCTTTTTGAGGCGGCGTGCTTGGATTGACTCAAGATTCCTTAGAACGGGCCGATACGGGTATTTTAGTTCGAGATTCGTATAATTTCGCGTTTTAATCTTCGATTAAGGCACACTAGGACTATCCTATTCCACTTTAAACTAGATTTCACAAAATAATTGAAAGTCAAAATAAAAACAACACTTCCCTCCGAAAGGTCCAGAGCGAATCAATCACTTTATAATAAATTATGGTGATGTCACGCAAAAATTATGTATATCATTTTTGAATGCGGCAATTTAAAATATGCCTGAATATAATAGTACCATTTGTTGCCAATAGATGGCTTTGGGATCGAGTTAAAACACGCTATTTTTTTGTTCACATAGAATTTATAAAACTCATGACTCGAATTACGTAAAGTAGGTGCTAATGGGAAAAGCTTGCCAATTTATGTAATATGAGCTCGTCTCATTACATTTTTCGATAATGGCTACTTGTAAATCCTTAGGGTACCATTCGTATTGATTTAAAATAGTGGTGTTCATGTAAAAAAAATATCGATATTTTTCCGATGTGATATATCGAAATGTTGTATCGATATTTTGCGATATATCGGTGCAAAACATTAGTATTTTCAATATATCGTAATAATTCTAAAAGATCAAAGGAAATTTTACAGAGTAAATAGTAAAACTACCAGTTTTGACACAATAATCAAATGTATTTCTTATTCTTGGATTCTTATTGGCTAGCCGCACACATACCATTATTATTGACATTTTGTTTAGCAGTAGAAGTTCCTTGTGAAAGTGTTCGTTCAGGGTAGTACTGCCACCTTACCTATTTCTGCCGCCAAGCAGTAATGTCAGCATTATTGTGTTCCGGTTTTGAAGGGTAAGGGTGCTGGTGAAATTACAGGCCTATGGGACTCGTCAACCTATGTCTCAGGATGACGAGTGCAGTGGTACTGCCCCTTAGATCACTTTAAAGCCCTGAGTGGCACTGTAACTGTTATGGACAGGCGTGTAGCTTACCATCAGGCGCACGACTTGTTCGTCTCGTCACTTGACGTTATAAAAAAATTGACAATTCAAGTTTATGTATGTTCCCAACACAACAATATCGCCCGCACACAAGCAATATTATTGTCAAAATTATTGTGTGTGTGCGGCTAGCCAATGAGAATATAACCACTACGTTATACTGACCGATGACCAGTGAATCAGCGTTCGAAGTGCGTTTCGTTTCTGCAAGGACATTTTTGAATTGTGTACTTTCAACTTTGTACGATTTTTCATGTATCGGATAGAATATATCGATACCGAATGATACAATAGTATCGGATTGATTCGGTACATCGAGGACATTTATTGAATATCGACATATATCGAGCACTCCTAATCCAAAACTGTCATCTACCTTTCATTGTCACCCAGCTCACTCTCAACCTACAATGTTACTCAGCTGGGCACAGCCACGGTCTTCGACTATACCAAAAAGTTGTGTCTTAACGTTACATTAGTACATAGAATATTGTTGGTCATAACATTTTTGGTTCTCGTATAAAATGTAAGCGTCTTATCAGAAAAGTTATCCGGCAAGTCATTTATTTTTTCGAGTATTTTTTGCAATGTTCTTTGCTGCATACAGCAATGCTCATAAGAGATAATAAGTACGTATTATGAGTTTAAATTAACCGCAATGTGTGTAATTTAGGGATTCTACAGAATACCTAGTCGCTGTATACAATACTAGACTTCTTTAGGCAACGTATACATCGATCGTATGAATAACGACAAGTTGAAGGAAATTTCTCAATATAAAAATTAAAACCTACTCGACTGAGTGTGTTCACACGGTAAAAACATTCAATACCCAATATCTAAGACCCAACTCAACTGTGCAACGCGTGTCCGTGTGATGCTGGTCCATATTAAACCTATTATTGTATGCTTTAATAATAGGTATACAATGAAGATTTTATAGCTGCTGCTAGAGTAGCAATCGAAACGTCACCAGTTATGCCATTTGATTTGGGTCTGCAGGGGAGATTGAAGATATTTGTGAATGACCATCGTGCCGTACAGAATAAAACACTTCTAACAAATCCAAGAATATAAGCAGAGAGCAGGGATTTCAGTACACGTGGTTGAAGAATGCAATTTTTTTCTGCGAAAAGACGATTCATCTCCCAATATAACCATAAGATCTCCAAAAGTTCTATCGAAAAAAAATTTACCGAAGTAATAGATACCATAATATATAGATTCAATCTATTTAATAGTGTTCTGTGTGTTATTTTGAATCAATTAGTATATGTCTTGATAATTCATTATCAAGGTTTTAATGTTTCGAATTCTACGTTTAAAAAAAAACAAGTTGAAATCACTTCATAATAATTTACGGTGATGTCATGCAAAATCTGCCGTCCGCTAGCTAAAACGCGGCGAAGTGACAAAATATTTTTTTGAGTTATCATAAAAAACCATAACCCAGTTTTAGAATATTGAAATGGTTTAATGATATTACAGCTATGCATCATTAGAGTAAGTTCCGATAAGTAATTTTGTAATCTTTTCCTATTTACAACGGATATTTAACATTTTGTCATTTACATATACAGACATATTATCCATTTTTGAACGTGTTAATTTAAAATTTTACCCAATTAAGCTGAATATTTATTATACCATTTGTTGCCAGTAGATGGCATTAGGATCGAGTTAAAACACGCTATCGTTTTGTTCACATATAATGTATTAAGTTCGAAATTCGAATTTATAATTATGACGTAAAAGTGTTCTCACCTTACGTTGAGCTTACTATTCCATTATAAGGAATTTTTATAATGGTTACTCCAAGTCCTTTGGATGCCATTTGCATTTACCTAAAATAACCATCCACCCTCATTATCACCCAATTCTGGCTAGTGAAACATAAACCTGACGAAGCGCGGCAAATGAAAAATAATCTTAACCTGGTAATATTGTGTATAGTAGCAATTATAGTTTTGATACTTTTAAATTTTTTTTGAGATGGTAATCCTAGAAATAAATATATATCCTCACACATGTAAACCAAACGCCGATGCCACGTTTATCAAAGTATCAAAGTTTACCAGAAACAAGGTGAGCAAGGCTGTGTACTGAACACCGAAGTCACGTTTGACGATAATAATAGGGGTTAAAGTATGAAATTGCCGATTTGTACTGAAAATCTAAATTGTTTATTTTTTAAATT